TTGGACATAAGCCAGCAGGGAAGCAACTTGATTGGAAGCTGTCATCACTAGGTAAGACAGTGGGGTAGGTTTGCCAAATACCAGATCCCAGGTTCCAACTCAGCTAGTGGTGGGAGAATTATTTGTTAGGCAAACCTGGTTGGGGAAACCACGCAAAGAAACAGCCAAGTTTGCAACAACCAAGCATGTAAATGCCTCTCATATGTGGAAGTCCAGAAAGGAAGTTCTGTTAACCTTTCTCAGTTCTGGTGATTAAGACTGCCTAATTTTTCTACTTCCAACTGACATGAAAGGTTGAAAAGAAAGTTAAATGTCTGGCAGGAAGGAGGAATATTGCACCAAACTCCGGCCGCTTGTCACTATTAATAAATACCTCCTGTGTTGTGAACAGGTCTAGAGATTCCTCTTTGCTCTTCTCGTCCAACCAGTGTTTTTGTTTTTCATCTCTCTTATCCCTTCTGAGGTTCTATGGCATCCTATCTGCACGCAGCTGTGTTTTCAATGTGACCATCAGATGACAAATATTTGAAATATTGTGCCTTCGTTGATAATTGCTAATTTCTAATTTTAAGGGCTACTAATGCTACTAGAAAATTAAAAAAAAAATCTGCTAAGCAAAGATCTAATGTCAGGACTAAACCTGTATTTACATCTTTTTTTCAATATTAAAATAATTACTTTTGTGTGTAGTTTGTGGACTTTGAGTATTAACTGCATTAAGACAAAAAATGTGATAAAAGAAGAAAATGTGATTGCAAAGTTACAGTCACAGTACAAAACATATAGTCAGTTTACAGTTTTGAAGAGAGATGGGGAAATTCTGAGAGACAGAGAACATAAAATGGGCAAAGAAGTGTAGCTACCCTTCACTAAGTTTAAATCTTCCTGTCTTGGAAGCCTGTAACACACTAGGTATTATTAGATGAGTTATTAAAATGTCTTCTTTAATCATCTGACTTTCAGAGCAATCATAAATCCTAAACTATTACATGGCTACTATAATTTCCTGAAACAATTTCAGGTTTTCCATGTGAAGAAGCTTGGAGAGAGGTAACGGAAGGCTCAAGCACCAGTTAAAAGTACAGTAGTATCAGGCATTACACAGAAGTACATCTTTAATTTTGGGTCAAAATTATAATTTTTTGGTTTGAGTATCTATACTCAGATTTTTTTTTTTGGAGTATCTATAGCCCTTATTTTCATTACGAGCACGTCCAGAAACAGTTTTGTTTTTCCAAAGAAGAAATAAAAGTAAAGGAAAAGTAAAAACAAGGACACAATTTTAAAAGAGGTGCTAACTCCAAAGAGTGCATAGAAAGCCTTTAACCAGCAAACCTTCTGTAAATATGCTTTACTTGGACAGTAAATCAGGATTTTGATGATGAAGAGCAAATATTTGGAATACAGGATGACATATAGGAAAAAAAACCCCACAAAACAACCCACATAATAAATTGCCATTTGCTTCTTTCCTTCCTTCTTTTTGATACTTATCTGGGAAAAAAGTCACATGAAGAGCATCTGAGTCAGCTGTTATTCTGGGATAGTCTCAGCTGGATTTGCTATCTATGTTATTTTAGTAAAGCTTTGATTTAGTACTGGATGTTTTAATGAAAGATAGTTCAGAATTACAGAGAAATATAGGTAACTGCTATAATATTCCCTGATTTTGCAGAAAGGGCAATTGTTCCGATATATGTTCTAACTTAACACACATCTCCATAGGCTCTGCTGAGTCCCTCCAGGAAAGACCACACACTATTAAGAGAGTAGCAGCCTATTTTCCCGAGGCCTTCCATGTGCCAGAGTAGAGGTTACTCAAAATCATATGTAGGAGGTTACTCAAAATCATATGGATAGAGATCACTTTCTGACTGGCCTGGCTGCTGAGGCAGTATTTATAAGAAACTCAGCCTGAATGTCCCTGACATCTGGCTAATGAGAATCCATGTTGTGAGAGGCTCTCCCTCTTACTTTTCCTGTGTGTTTTGAAACCCTCTTGTCTCTGAAAGGCAGTTATGAAATACTAACATTTTAGCATGCTCTCATGCCTGTATTTTCTCATACAATGTTCTATGATCCATCTCAATCTTTTACAATGAAATTCTAGGAAAAAGCATACAATTTGACCAGGATTTTGATAAGGATGTTTTCATATTTTCAAAGCTAAGCAATTAGTGGAAAAATCACTATGATTGGCTTCTACCACATGAAATCATGCTAGTTTATGGAAAAGATTATGGAGGTCCTTGACTCTGCCCTAGTGTCAATTTTACACAGTCCACAGAAATCCCCCTTCCGCAAGCAGCACAGTGTCGATGGGAATCAACTTTCCTTAATTATTTCCCTTAGTGTGGGCCACCAACCTTCTTACCAGCTAAAATTCTCCAGGTTGCAGGTAGACTTGTTAAGAGTGATGCACTTAAGGACCAATGCAGTAGATGTGAGAAATCTTCTGGTATGAGACTGCTCCAAAGTGAAAAAGTCCACTTAGTTCTTGTGTACTAACATTCTAATTTAAAGTCTTGAGGGAGAGGCAAACATTCTGTAGTTTTCATCAGCACCTTTGATTTCCTTAATATGAATGGGAAGCTTTGATAATTTTCACTTTTGTCCCTGAGTTAGTTTACTCTTTAGCATCTGAGGTACTGACATGGCGGTGTCAGATTTGGACTCAGAGCATCAGAGGAAAACACTGCTACAAGAGGGCAAAACCTGTCAATTAGTTTCTTACTTAAAAATAAGTACAACAGATATGTTTTCAGTGCTTCTGGTAAATCCATTTCTTTACAGCCTAAATCTGAATCCTAGATGGTTGCCTTCACTGGTGAATATCCAAGCTGATATTTCTCAACACCTCCAGATTTCAGGGAGACCTGGTGCCAAATTTGAACTCAAAGCTGGCTGAGACACAAGAGGAAAGGGAGGATACCTAAAGAAACGCTTCAGAGAAAGAACTGCATGGTGAGACATTCAGACTCAAATGGAACGGGCCTTCTTTGCATAATAGGCACACATCTTTTGCTTTGTACTTTGGCAGACATCACTTCTTACGTGTTTTCACACCCTTCATGCATGCACAGAGCTATAGCCCCTGGTAGCTTAAAAGAGCCAACAGGCAGCCACAAAACCTGCTCTACAGGTGGCAAAGTGAACGGCCTGGGGCAACAGCATCAGCTTCCAGCACTTCCTCCAGTGGGAGCACTGGCCGAGGGGCTAAGCATCAAGACTACCTCCGTGGGTCTTGGATTGCCCTTTGATTCTCTCTCCAGAGCCACGTTCTCAGCCCTTCTGGACTTGCTGTCCTTCTCCTTGCTGTATGCCTCTCCTCTGCCTTCCCCTCAATGTTGTATTGACTTCATGTGTTAGCTGAATGCCTTCTGAAGAAACCTACCTGAAAAATTACCCCACAGAGCTTAACTTGCCTTGTTATCCTGCCTGCATTCATGTCTCTTCTCCCAAAACCTGTCCACATTCTGCTTGAAAGTGAATCCTTGGAGGGTGCATGCCTTTCTTCCCACTGTGCCTGGATAGCATCCGGCATGGTGGGGGCATTCCTCATTGACACAGGTACATCAGCAAAATAAAACTGATTAACAATGCCAGAACCCTGCCAAGACCACCCTCCAGGTAGTGCCCCAATGTGAGTAAGTCTAATTTTTCATCTCCCAAATAATGGTCAAGACAGTCACAGTGACAAGGAGTGCTAGCTTTAGGAAGGTCACTGGCTTCCCACAGCTTGCTATGGACTGGATAATGACAAGGGAATCCAGAAAGAATGGGCACAAATGGGCAACCATTTAGCACCGGTCTCCCGAGAACTTCTGAATGCCCACCACATCAGCCGGCACGGCCCCAAATCCCGTGTTCCTGATGGAGGAACGGAGGTACGGAGGCGGGTCCCGTGTTGGCCCTGGAGACGGCGCCTGCCGTGACATCCTCTGTCCGAGCGGGCAGGGCAGCTCCCTCCCGGGCTGAATTCCCACCTCGCCCTCCCGGCAGAGCTGCCCCCGTGCCTGCCCCGGCCGCCGCCCCGCCCGCCCCGCCGGGCCCTGCGGGCACCGCTCACTTACGTGGGGGCCGCGGGCCAGCGGCTCCCGGCGCAGCGGCGCGTTGGTTCCCATGGCGGCCGCCGAGCCCCCGCCGCCCAGACCCTTCCCCAGGCGGCTCTGCCGCTGCCGAGCCGGGGCCACGCTGCGGGAGAGGCACTCGGGGCTGGGAACACCCCCCGCAAGCGCCGCCCTCCGCCGGGAGGGGTCCGCGCTCGGCCGTGGAAGGGCCCGGGGATGTCGGGCTGTGCGGGGGCTGTGCGGGGGCTGCCCGGGTGTGCCGGGGTGGTCCGGGCGTGCTGGGGCCCGAGGCTTTGGCAGTCCGTGCGCTAAGGCCGTGTCGGCATCCCTGCGGGGCGGCGTGGGGAGCGGGGTCTGTGCTCCGCGTCCCCCCGGTATTGCCTTCTGGTGGCCTCCTGTGTCTCAGGGAGCCGTTCCCCTGATGGGTATCCCCAGAGCGCGCACAGAGGAGAGGAGAGGAGAGGAGAGGCCTCTCTGTGAACTTTACCCTCTAATAGCCATGACATCTTGCGAGTTTTACATCACCAAGACTACCAGGATCTGGTCAGAACAGCAGGAACCTGAGGCTGTCTCAAGGCAAGGAACTTGGGAAGTGTGTAATGCACCGAGCACGTGAGTCTTCCAAAGGTCTGGAAGACAGCAGCAGTCAGAACTTTACAAGTGTGGTCCCAGCTTCTTCTTGTCTTCAAGACAAGACTGTGTCTTGCTTGTCTTACTTGTAGCTGTACCTCTGACCCCTTTCAGGTCCTGGGGCCTCCATGTGTGCCCTGTCCCAAGGGAGCCCTGCAGTCGCCCTTTTCATGCAGAGGCCCAAGCTGCTCTAGACACTTGTGTGACCCCTGACTTTCTGGGTCATCTTGGAGTACTTGCAGTTCTTTCCTGACTGCTGTTTGAATTCTGACATATGGGCCTTTGTGTTTGCAGGGAAATTATTTGTCTCCAGCCGTTCTCTCCTTTCCTGCTTGGTTTTCCTGGAACGCAGATGTTCAACGTATCACATAAATTTATAGCAGAACTCTACTCCAATAAGCAGGTCAGTATAGAGCACCTGTGAGTTTTACTGACTGGCATTTCCTCTGTGACCAGGCTTATGCCTATACGCAAACAATTCAAGAGCAGCGGCCACGACTATTGCTGTGATATTTTTTCTTTAACCTGAGATCAATGTACTGTGCTGGTATCCGTTTTGAGTCATCCCTTTATAGCCACGGTGGCTTATAATTTTTTGCATTTTGTTAGCATAGTGTATTTCTAACTGCTCATTTTATCTTACAAATCCTTATGTATCTGTAAGGCAAGTTGCTAAATAAAGCATCAGAACAAAAGCAATGACTATAAAGCAGCAACAAAGGACTTCAAAAGGGTGGGCACTTGTAGAATTGGAGAACAAGGAGGCATTTTGTTAATTTGCTGTAAACTGTATACTGTATTTTTTCCTCCATTTTACACACATCTTGCAGATGATGATTCTTCTTTCAGTATATTGTAACTTTGTCTCAGAAAAATACCTAAATTTTTCTGTCTGCAATCTGATCTGAAACTCACCTGCGTTACACTCTGTTCTGCTGAAGTCACCTCCTGCACTCACATATTTGCAGCTCTTACTGCTTCTCAGCATTGATGCATTCAATTAAGAGGTCTTCTTCTCCCAGAGCTGCATTATGCGTGTGTATATGTGTATGTGTATGCAACACATAAATATATATGTAGGTATATGGTTTTTAAATGTCTGTCAGTTGTGGGAGAAAACAAGCTGTATTCAGATTTCCCTGTATCAGGTACTTGGTTTCTAAAATGGCTCCATTATTGACAAAAAAGGACATTACATTTGGAGCTTTAGCCTCTATTTTTTCCCGTGGGACAACATTACTAGAAAGAAAAGCCCAAATTCCCTTGGGTTTCTCTAAAATCGATTTCCTTCTTACTGTACTTTTCCACTTTTGAAGACATTTGTTATCTTTCTTCTAGAAGTCTCACTGATGTTTTGTCTGATTTGGGCCCTTCACTTCCTACTCCAGTGATGATTAATACACTTGCCAGATGGGCCTTTGTGGAAAATTTACATCTTCCAGGAACTGTGTCTGTTGGGCTACAGGACTCTGTCTTTTTCTCTTCCTGAAACTTAGCAAAAGCATGAGCCCCAGAGTACGGGATGTCAACATGAGACATAATTGAGTCTGCTCTGAAAACTAACCAACTCCTTCACACAAATGAACACACCTGAGCGCTTGTAAAGACAGTCAAGTGTTCTTGTCCTGGTCCCTTGTGCTATACGAGTTGTACTGTTGTTTTACCCAAAGCACAGGAATATAGGCACTCCTCCTCTGCACAAATGACAAATGGAGAGGGTTGTGTTCTCCTTAATCTTCAGTAGGCTCGTGAGTCACCTGAAGTTGTACAAGTTATTTGGGACCTGGATGCCTATCTTTTCACACAAAACCAGACCTTCAGGTGTCATATCTGACCTTGTCTTCTGGCCTCTCCTTTAGGGTACAAGTCTTGGCAAAACATTGTTGCTCAATGTCAACTCAGCCTACAGTCTAAGAAAATTATTGAATTTTAAGTAAAATATTGATCAATCTTTATCAATTTGGCAGAAGTTTCAGTTTGTCCCCCTCTGCCTCTCCTTTGATGAGACCAGAAACTTGGGAATGGCAATAATCCCAGTCAATGGGATGTTCTGAGGAAGAGATTGCATTCAGACTGAACTGCCTGTGTTGCTGCCTAGGTAGGGCAGCTGACACAGCTGACAGCAGCATAGCTGCTTGGTAATGAAGGGGGAATAAAAAAGGCTTTGCCTCCGTACAGTTGTATGTGATACTAAAATGAGTATAGTGATTTATAGGATATACACTGATGCCTTCAGACATCCATGCCTGATCTCCACACACCTTCATTGACCTTTCCTGTTGGAAGGGAGGTAGCACCACCCTTTTCCTACTAGTATTGCCTGGGCTTTCAACAACATCTTACAGGTTCACTTGATCTCCTTTTGGCAGTTTATACAGCCTGGAGTTTTCTGCCCTGCCCAAGTGAGGAGGCATTAGGTGTGGAGGAAGCTGAAATGTGGATGTGGAAGGTTTGCAGGATATTTTTTCTGCTCCTATGTGGGGATTCAGAGCCCTGAGCCAGTGTTACAGGAAGCTGAGAGTAAATGTTAAGTCCTCTGACCCCTTCTAGGATATATTTACATCTCTCTGCTTTGGGGCAAGGAGGGATAGAAGGCACTTTTCAAGCAATCTCTGAATAAACAATTAACCTTGGTATACTAGATTTTCTTGTTCTACCCTCCTTAATTTGCCTCCAGGCTGTTCCTGTAAAAAAGCACGTGAAGGAAATCCACTCAGAAAAGAGCAGACACTCATGTAGTTCATGTGGCCTCACTTAAAAAATGTCACCACAAACACTGGAGGAATTCAGTATAATGGTTAGGACAGTAGAGTTGCTGAAGGAGAAAGGAAGGGTCTGAACTTCCAGAATGACGTGAATAGAGAGGTAGTTTCTACCAACCACTGCAGTGAGGGACTGTGGACAACTCAGGCCAGCTGGGGCCTTCCCCTGGTCCTTTTCATACACTATGTAAGTGCCTGACCAGACTGACAGAAGTGGAAAATGGATCCTGGACCCAGAACAGGGGACTCCGGGTCAAGAGGGAGGTGAATGAGAAAGCTCTGTATGAAAAAACACTAGGCTTGTAGGCTTAGTAAGACCCAGTGTTTTGATCAGATTGAAACACATGATGATTCAAAAGTCATACTGATATTTAAAAAAAGATCAGTGCTTCATCTAAAAGTCCAAGCACGGTAAAGGCCCTTGAGTTTCTATAGCTAGTGGCATACAATGTGGTGAATGTGTAATATATTTAGTTAACCACAACTCATTAAAAATAATAGCATTTCTCTGCTAGTAGGAGCAACATCACATTTCTTTACATGTTCACAGCCTGTTCCAAAAACACTCAGTGAAGTCAGATCTTACTCCTGAGTCATGTTTTGGCTAAGTCCTCCGTTGTAATCCCAGTGATGTGGCTGTGTGTAACCAGGTTCTCGGGTAACGGTTTAGTGCACAAGCTATGTGGTGCCAGAGGAAAGCATGTTTACTCCTGCTTTTCTAATTTCAAAAGCTTCAAGCTCTGCAGTACCTGAGGGATCCTGCACAGATGGAGTTCAATGAAGTATTTGTAAGCTGATCATCTTCTGACTGTTCAGACAGAAATGAACTGCAATCCCTGCTACATTCTTGTGAAGCAGGAGTCTGGAAGCACTAGGTTTATGAGCTAAGTATGTATGGAAGCAGAGTGGAGGTGGGATTCATTGGACATGGCATGAGATGTTTAGCTAGAAAACAAGAAAGGCCCATCTGGTGTTCTGTATTTAAAAAAGATACATTTGGTTTACAGGTTTTTATCTGGGGAGATTGCAGATCCCTTGGTGACTTAGATTGACACTTGCTCTGGTGCTAGAGAAGAGAAATGAGAGCAACAGATATTTTGAGGAAGATGAGTGATTAGCTCCAGGAAAGTCGTGTGGATCTCAAAGTTCTCTAAGGTAGCCTATGACCATATGCAGGAATCATGGGATCTAATTAATCTTTCAGGAAACAGATCCATGTGACTGTTAGGCCAGCTCAGATTTGATTTTTTGGTGGAAAAGAGCCCTTGGTTGTTTTGGACAGAACATCTCTGTTAGAAATGGTCCTCAGACAACCTCTGCCCTTAACCAAATTTGAGAAAAGTACTTTTACCTGCCTTCTACCGCCATGCTGTGACGGGATATAGCAGGGGGACCAGTCAAGACTCAGCACTTCCCAATAAACCCTGGTTCTTCACGGAGCTGGCTGTTTATGAAAAGAGCACCATGGTCAGGTATCTGAGCATGAGGGAGTTCTGGCTGGTGCTTTCTCTCAGAGCTCCCTGTCATGTCTTTTCTGACAGAGCAGTGAGAGGCACAAAGTGCTTCTGTCCCAAGCCTCAGAGAGATGCCTGCTCACCCTTGTGTCAGCATATGTCTTGGTTTGAAAGTTGCCCTGGGAAGATTTAGCCAGGTGCTTTGGTGTAATCCTGACAACTGCTCACTTCCTGTGCTTGGTCAGAGCAGACAAAACATGAGATTTTTTTCCACAGCTCAAAATACCTGAGCAGCAGAGGACAGTTAAGGGTCAAAGTGCACAGGTTTTTTTCTTAATAGCAGGTAGACAAAAAAAAAACAAAACAAAACATGCTCCTATCAGAAAACATCAGTGATCCAAATTTGCATGGGTCTTGTCTTTGAAGAACAGTGGTCACTCCACAGTTAACAATGAGCCTCCTCCCAGCCCTATCTGGAAAGTGTCATGCTGAGCAAACACAGGCATGGATAAGAAACAACTCTTCCTATTCTCCTATTCTTGCTGCTTAACTGAGTTGTTGATGCCAGTGAATTTGTGCACTTTCCCAGCACTTGGGAACAATCAAAACAATCTCGCTTGGGTGCTGAGTAGCAAACCAAGGAGTTCTGAGTTGGACATGGGAGACTGAAAATGCCACTGATGTATTGCCAAAAGTCAGAAAGCAAGCCTGTGCCTTCCTCTTCTTAATCTGTGTTCAGTAAATGATGTCTTCCCCGTGGACACAGTATGACTGCTTGCTTGTCAAGCACGGTAGAAATTAATTTGTGTAAATGTCTGTGAGACTGGGCAAAAGTCTGAAGGAAGGAGGATTTAGTACTCATCTTGTTGGAAGAGATTCAGATTAGGGAATACTTAACTAAATTAGACATACTTGAGGCCATGGGCCCTGATGATATGCACCAATAAGTGCTGAGGGAGCTGGCAGATATTGTTGTGAGGCCGCTCTCAATGGTCTTTGAATGGTCATAGTGACTGGGAGAGGTTCCTGAGATCTGAAGGAAAGAAAATGTCATTCCTGTCTTGCTTGTTTTCAAGGAGGACAAGAATGAGTATCTGGGGAACTGCAGGTCAGTCAGCCTCATCTTGACTTATTAGACAAATGGACTGAGTTCATCCTCAGCTAATTTGCTGATGACATCAGCCTAA